CCCCCCCCCCCCCCCCCCCCCCCAGGCTCGTCTCAACTGCAAGCACTGCGGGAAGCCGGTGGTGGACGTTCGAGTGGGGATGCAGTATTTCTCCGAGTACAGCAACGTCCAGCAGTGCCCTCACTGCGGCAACCTGGACTATCATTTTGTTAAACCCTTCTCCTCCTACAAAGTGCTCGAGGCTTATTGACAAATGTTTTAATGCATGCTAGTTGAGCTGCTTCTGTTCGTTTATTTTTTGTTGTTTTTTAACACAGTCTAGGAAAGATATTATTTTTGGGGCCTTAAGGCGGTTTAATGGTTTTAAGTTCCCTTTTTAAAAAAACAAAAAGTATGGGACAAGTATGATGCTGGCCGGAGGAGAAACGTTTCCCAGCCGGCGTCTCAGAGAGAAGTGTTGATAAAAGTGTGGAACTGACATTTTAGTCAAGCGTACACATTTATCTGTGACAAGTGAATGTAACTGTCTGCCAAATTTGCTTTTATTTTTTACCAAAAATATCAGAAATAAAGATAAAGATTCACAGTTGATGTTCGCGTGGCCCACAGCTTCCACAACAGACTCCTTCACATCGTTTATGCCAGTGACGCCAATGTGGATCTAATATTAGAATCCCAACAATCGCACAAGATGATCTCCTTCTTTGGATATTTCCTTGTGTGGGACACGTCCTATGAAGAATGACAGATCAGATCCAATTTTAATGCTGCATTCACAGTTTTCTGAGTTATTCTGAAGCACAACGGTTCTAAACGAGATTCGTCTTTGTCCACGCTCCAGTTTTTTAGCTCTCATTAACAAACAGTGTATATAGGCTCAACAGCTATCTTGATTTTCAGTTGTTTCATAGATGTTTCAGGTAAACTGAATGTCTGAGGGTCTTCACATCTTTGACTCTGTAGTTACGATAATCTCATCTCCTCTCCGATGATCATTTTGAGGCTCTGATCAGTGACTCCTGCTTTCACCCATTTTCATCCCCCAAAATGTGCAAAGAGCACATTATAAATTCAAAGCAAAACAAATAGCCAACGCTCCATTTGAAAGAAACTCTTAGTTTAAAAACAAATGTAAAGATTGGCGTGTGCTACAACACAATGAACAATGACACTGAGTCACACGCGATATTTGACAGGTTTCAGATACTTTCCTCTCTGGTCAGAGGGACTAAAACAAAGAGTACAGGTGAGTACAGAACCTTTTTCAAGCTCAGGAATATTTTTTTACACTCAGTCCCCGTTCGGTATTTTGGGTGCCAGTATAGTTATTTAGTTCCTTTCCAGGTCTATTTAGCATATTTTCATTCTTTTTGCAGGTTTTCACAGGTTCTCATTAACAGACATTGTTTGTGGGTGTCGGTTTGTTGAGGCTTTGTGTCTCTTTTAAGCCTTTTTCACTTCTGTCTGTCATCACTTGGTGCCTGTGGTCACCTGACTTGACAGCAGGAATTTAACACTAACTGCTGACCGCCCTCCCATCCCCGTTTGTCACAGTAGGCCCCTGTTAGTGAGAGAGTTTTATATGTGGGTCACACGGCTGCTGTTGTGTTTGTGCCGTTGTCGGGAGCGGAGCCGGCCGGCGGCGGCTCGGCGGCTTTGTCCTTTCGTTGCTGCGACAGCTCCTTGGCGGACGGCGGTCGGAGGATGCACACGGCCGCTTGACCGTCTCTGACGACTTTCGGCTTGGAGACGAAGCCCAGCATTACGTCCATTTGTTCCACCATTTGCTCCAGAGTTGCGTCCTGCAAGGGAGGACACACAAACGGCGTGAATCTGCTGTCAGGAGACAGTTTTTTTCCCCCCCCTTTTTGTCGGGGGACCTCTCCAGGCTGAGGTGGTTTTTTCGGGTTCTTCCTCACCAGGTTGGCGTTGTTTTGTCCGCGCTCCGCTCGCAGCGTGATCCGGACGTGGTGCTTCTTCTCCAGCCAGCTCTCCACTTGTTTCAGTTTGGTGGCGAGGTCGTGAGACGCGATGCCAGCGGAAAAGGTGAGCTCCTTCACCTGCACAGGGGCTGGGGGACGCAACCAAACACACAGACTCAGCGGCGGGCGTTCGCTTTGCCCCAAAGCTTTGTTTTTGCTCTCACAACAGAGAAGAAATTCTATTATCTGGAGAAAATCAACATTTGACCTCCCGAAATTCCACCGTTGGTCGCCTTCTACCCGAATCAGGGAGTTTGAGTCTGATTTGTGGTGTTTTTTTACTCCACAGCATGAACACAAACAGACAGCAGTGGACTGGCAGCTGCATGGCCTCTGTGAGCCCCGCAGCTTCTTTAATAAAGCTAATTATAGAGCTGAAGCCTCTCCAAATTTTGGTAAATGGGTCAGTCTATTTAACGGGGAACTCCTTAAAACTGGGGGGGTATATAAAAAAAAACCCTTCACTTTGTGGAAAGAAACCCCACATAAAAATAAAAATATATATATCAGAAAAAACGGGTTAAAGCTAAACCTGAACTTGAGATATATCTTATCGATGAGATAAAAAATCAATTAAAAAAACTGAACATAAAATACCATTAGATTAAATCCTGTTTGTGATAGTGGAGGTTTAAAGCTTCCTCTAGCACACTAGACAGGAGAAACTTTTACTTTGATATTTCCTTTTAAATCGACCTCGTGTTAAATTGACAGAAAAAAAGCAATACTTTAGTAACTCAGTCTGCGTACCAGCCTTCGCCTTGTTCTTCTCTCTCAGTTTCAGCTGCTCTTCGTGGATCTGTTTGCCGCTCATCAGCTGGTACACGGCAGGGTCTCTGTGTTCGCTCAGCAGCACCAGTTTCAGACCCTTCTCCTCCATGACTCGGATCACATCCGCTCGATGCATGACGCCCAGGTTCTCCCCGGCCTCGCCGATCACCTGGATCTCCCGCTGGGGGATCTTGCGGCCCACGCTGTTCAGCGTGGTGTGAGCTCTGGGATCCTGCTCCTTCTTCTTCTTCTTGCGCGCGGGAGCCGGTTCGGCGTCGCCGGCCTCCGTGGAGAAGGCGCCGCTTCTCCGGGAGGCAGCGAGGATGCTCTGTCCCTGGCTGCACAACGCCAGCCTGGACGCGGGCGTCCAGTGGCCGGGCCTGCCGCCGCACAGAGTTCTCCCCGCATGGCTGAAAAGCCACCTCACGCAACCTGCCGACATATTCTGGATGAAAAAAGAACAGGTGTGATGACAGGAAAACTGCACATTGCCAGACAAAATGGAAATAGGTGCAGGGTTTGAATAAAAAAAGGGGCTCATAGAGAACATACAGAAAGAGTTAACGCAATTCTGACAAGCTGGAAAGGTGACATTTGGTCTGAGAGCCAATCCTTCTTAAGCTGAGCTTTCTTTTACTCCTTTTGCTTTTTGAGCTCTGGGGGGGGATTCATCCCTCCATCAGACCTGTTGCCGCTGATTTTCAGTCCACTTCCTGTGTCCTTTGGCAGAGCTCAGCCTTTCCTCCCCGTTTCCCTTCCTTAATCAGTTTTTATGGCCCAACATGTCTCCTTTTTGCCTCCACTTGTCCAGGTTCCTCAAATGTTTTAAGGACCTGCTTCACACCATGCTGAGATATCACCTTGTTACAGCAAGAATGTTTTTTTCTGTCTATCAAATGTCTGTAATCTTTAGTATTTTTTCCCTTAACTTTAAAGTTCAATACTGGTGCATCTCATACTCTGGTGACTCCAGAATCTCAAAAGCTCAGAGAGCTACTACTGAAGAAAACTTAAAAAAATAATAAGAAAGTCTATCAGAAAATAAAAATAAAAGTGTACATTTCTGCAGAACAGATATATTGTCAACTCTTTTAAATTTGAGACTGAGATTAATGATATTTATTGAGAATTCGTTACTTATTGAGGGTTGTTGTTGTTTTTAGTATAAATGTGAGGTTGGTTAACCTCTTACCTCATTAACCTTTTTATTTTGAGTTATTTTACTCCATAAAAATATAGGGACATTTTTTGAAAATGGCAGTTTTTTAATCAGTGGTAACTGGACATAATGAGGAAAATGCATATAATGAATGACACAACAGAAAAAGGTTATTTGAATTCTATTTAACCATAAAAATGTCATCTGTCCTAGACACTTTGACTTCTTCTGTGGTTACGAACCTGTAAAAACGCAGTAATTATGCAGTAATATACTAACAAACCTGCCCCCGATTGCAAATAAAACCCTCTCAGTCTGTCTTAAAGTTTTTTGGGGTGGTATTTGTTTTTTTATTCGACTCACAGCATATCAATGTCGTGCCTCTGAGCTTCGTCTGCAGCTGCTCTGGCGTCTTCTTCCGGTTTCTCTTCTTCGTTGGTTACTACAGGTCGGTAGAAACCCGGTGTGCTGCCCTCTAGAGGACTTAAGGGGGAGACGAGTCGACGAAAGCTGTAAAACGTAACAGGAGTAACAACATATTAAATGTTCCATTACCATCAAATTAGGTCTTAATGTGAATTTTGTGTGTCATGTTAAAATCTGTGGCATCATTGTGGTCTCTTTGGTCGTAATGTACCAAGATCTGCCATTAGAAGTATCAGCATACAGCAGTCTACTTAAAAAACAAATTGTCTTCCTTGTGAAATTCAAATTAGAGCATAACCCAAATGTTATGCAACAAAACACCCTGAAAATCCCCATTTCCGCATGTAAAGCAATGGTTTGGGTTCATTTTGATTCTGTGTGAGTCAGGATTGGCCCATGTTGGGATGGTCATTTAATTTTAGGCAGTATCATATATCTGAAGCAAAATCATGTGTCATTTTTGCTGGGTATTTTGGATTTGAATCTGCAGAACAAAAGTTTAAATCTCAGAAGGTTGAGCTCCCATAGCTCACTTACTGACTCTTTGGGGGAATAAGACAGAAATCCAACTGGTGTTGATTTTGTTTGCCTCTGAAACAGAGGCGTAATGAATTGTTTATAGCTGTGACAGCACGGAACACTCCACCACAAACCACTTAAATGCAAATACAAGTTTTATAACTGGAACCACACTGAAAATGATCTCAGAGGAGGGAGAATGCTTTAATATGAGTCACAAAACCGGCAGTTTTTCAGCTAATCGATGCAGAACATACTTTCATTTGTGTAATGCTCAGTGGACAGACACATGAACTAACTTCATTCGCATTATCTTATGGCTTCGATTAAAAAAGATCAGTGTTAATGTTCTTGGACTCTTTAAGTGGAAGACTTTTAATGATATGAGAATTGGACTCATATATGTATATATAGTTTCCCCTTTTCGCTCTCCAAGCCTTGTACCGGTTGTCTTTGAAATTCTATGTAAATGTTCTTTTTAATGTGATTTATCCATAGCCAGGTGTGGTAAAAAATAATCCCCATAAAATAGTCCTGGACTTTATTGAAAAGTAGTGATAACAGAAGAGAAACCCACTTTTACATGAACTAGTAAAATATATCTAGCATCCATTACACACAAGTCTTCATTTCCTGCTGCCTCGTATTCCTGCTAATTTTTTAATCATTTGGCTCATTTTCTGGAGAAGTTTCAATCATTTCAAAGCCCCTGAAATTTCTGTTAAAACTGCATTTAGTCATTTGTAAATGCAATAATAAACTAAGGTTTCATCTCTGTATGTTTATTTCATTTGACTATGTTTTGGAAATGTCCCTTCCAATGAAATGCAAGATACAGTAACAGCATTGTCTTCAAGGAAAAAGCCCAAAAGTCTTTGATATTGATCCCACAGCTTCAGTTCTTTTTGGGGTTCATGGATGTTGTCAGATCAATTCTTTATCACTTTTCACAGTAGATGACAGGATCATTTAAAAACACTATAAATAGCGTTGAAAATCTCACTAAGCTGTCACATTGCAATAGAAAATGGTAACTTCACTCTGCAACCAGCTAAGCTGAGAGAAGTAAGTCCAAAGATCGTGAAATGAAACATGAGCAGAGTTGATTATATCTTTAAAAATGAAGCAGAGATCAAAGAAAGACAGTTTGAAGCTGTGGAACACCGTTTACGCTATATCAATACAATGACCATTCATTCCTCATGGTTTGCCAACGGGGTTGGTCGTCATTATTTTTGTCCTTATTTTGCATGGGACAGTAAAATACTCTTCTGTTTTTTTGTTTTTTTTGAGGAACTGAACATTTGCAAAACTAAATATTGTCTATGCAAAGCTGGCAAAAGGTTCAGTAGTTCCGATCCCTGCTGTCAGACTCAGTTCTCACACAGAGACGTTTCTCACTTACACTTTTGCGAGTTTTTCTCTTTTGGCTCCTTTTTTCATCTTTTGACAGACACTTATTTGCCCTAAAAGTACTGTGTCGCAGTTCTGTGTGTGCTGCTCATCAACAGCAGCTGCTGGAGGACCGTTTTGGGGACCTGAAGCCTTCAGAACAACATGACTCTGCTTAGCTGGACAACCCTGGTTGTGTCGGTGGGCCTCTTGTGGAGTTGTTCACTTTGTAAGTAAATACATTCTGTCATATTTGGATGCCACATTATTTCAGTATGTTTCCAAGAAGTATTTTTCTTTCCTTTTTTTTTTTTTTAAACTTATGCATGCTATTGAGGAAACCCAAGATGGGAAAATATGTCCCTTTCCTGGGAAATTCACTGAATTTATTTAATTTTCATGTTGAAATCCATGTAATCCAGGTAAACCAGATAAGCCAGGTAATGGTCTAGGAAGAGGAACTGGAAAATTAAAAAAATATATAAAGGCTACGTTTACAGATGACCAATTTAAGAATGGAATGAAAGCCTATCTTGTTCCTGATAACTTCTATGGCTCCATCATATGTCCAGGTGAGGCCCGATGAACGTTTTTACAGATCTGTGTTAGTTTATTCACCATGTAAACGGTGCCCTTTTTTCTTTTTCTATGTCTGTAGAGTTTTTTCTGACACTTGTTTATAACTTGAGATTTTTTCTATGGAAAAAAAAAGTTAATTTGAGAGTTACACCCCTGCAGTCTCCTTATAGTAAAAAAAAATTTTTTAAAAAGCATGTTGGACAGACGTTGACCGTTCAGTCCAACTGAGACAATAGGGGCTTAGCTCTACTTGCAATAACAATTTCCAGAACATACTCCTATTTGGTTTGAATGTGACAAGAGTTTTTTTTTAAAGAGATCAGACCACAGTCAGTTGTGTTTTCCACAGTATTTATTTCAGACAATTAGTTTATTTAATACATTACTTAACATCTAAAGTATGAATGGAATACCTTGTATGTAATGTATCATTCTGACAAAGCCGAGCCCCAAACGGATGGACAAAACCACACCTGTGGGGAAAGCGGAAGTTTGTTAATGTTTCTGCAGGGCAACAAAAGCAGACACGGTGAGTTCATATACCTTGCAAAGAAGTAGGATTTCATGCACAATGTTTCAAAATCACCATCAAATTCAAATATGATATACTTCTATTTACAAAAAACAGGCAAATTCAGGAAAGACTGGCCTCAAGTGTGTACTGAAACTCGACGTCTCTACATTCCAAAGTATCTTGTCAGCAGTAGCGCTACTTTTGTGGTTCTGTTTGGAAAGTGCACACATTTCACCAACACCACCAGCTGTAAGGTTATACCTTTGATTTCACTTCTAGAAATATTTCCCAAACTATCTGTCATTCAAAGGCATAAACAGTTTTTAAAAAAATCTTTCTTTGTATGTTATCTTCCTAAAAACTGTGTTTGCTCATATTTTGTCTTTGTTTCGCAGGCAACTCTAGTGTTGATGACTGTTGTAGTAGAGAGGTGAAAGCAAAGGATGAATGTGAAAAAGCCAAATATGACGAAAGTGCCTGTAAAAAAGAAGGTGAGTTTTCCTTTTTTTAGACGACCAAAGCAAAAATGTGTAACTCTATTCATGCTCCTGCATGTTTCTAATCTTCACGATTCCTCCGGTGAAGATTTGGGCGGGTTAGTTCTGTTAGTGTTTGTTTTTTCCCTGAAAGTGAAGAAGTTTTTCTCAAAACGTTAGTCAAAAGTGTTTGCTGTTGGTCTGGTTGACAGTGCGTGCCGCTCCTTTTCAGAAATACGATTCAACAACATGTTCGTGATGGAGGTAGAGAATGGAGGCCCATGCCTGAGCTGCAACGCCCCGGTGAAAGAGGCCGACGAGAAGATGCAGGTCAACTCCTCTCTTGAGATTGAAGGGGAAACGCTGCCGGCGTCCGAAGCTGCGTAAGACGCCTTTCGCGGGTTCTCCCAAATGTTTTTCGCTGTTCTGTGCCTGGCGGAGGCCAACTGATGCCTTCTGGGTCAGGCTTCTGACCCGGGGAGGGCCTCCAGTAGACATTGACGCGGCTTGCAATCAGTACAGCGATTTACGGGCCGGAAAGAAGTTGCATCTTTCTCGTCTGCTGCTTCTCCACTCGTTCTGGACTCAGCTAAAAATGGCTCACACCTCTTATCGAAACCTATCGGGCTCATGTGCCATACGTGCCCCAGCAGGCTTTAAGGGCCTCGTTCAACTTAAACCATGAAACTGTGGTTAAATTTGAATCTTGTTGTGTCTTCCGTTTAAACTAGCGTGTGCTCTTCTCTCCTAAATGTGTAACTGTTGAGCTTCACAGAATGGAAGACGCAGGAAAATGGATTCTCTATCACTTGTGTGAATTCAACTTGAAGGGCTGAACTTGAAATTCCTGTTGATAAAAGTACACAAACACAAGACAGACAGTGGATTTTGGGCTCTTTGTAAAAGATTTCGCAGTTTGTCTTGTGTTGAGAGAATATCTTTTGATCTGCCCACAGAAATCTGATGAAGGATATGAGTGACTTAGTTAAAAACATGAAGGGATCCTCGGCTGAATTGTCGTTAGGAGCAGGAGTCTCGGGAATCTTGGTAAAAGAGCCTGATGAAGCTGAAGGAATATCATTCGCTTATAGCTCTCCAAATGACAGCATGAAAGTAGGTGCATTACTCCCATTTGACCATCAGAAATATGCAGTCGTCCAAGTGGCTGAAATATATGTGAACAATAATGTGTTTGTGAATACACAGATGTTAAAACTTGATACTGTCGTAAATACAGCTTTTAAAAAACAAACTGAACACAACTACTATTTTCCCCAAAGAAAAAGTTGATTTCATGTGCAGGCAAATTATGAAATCACATTCATTTACTTTGTTGTTAGAGTTGATACAGTTTTGGAACTGAGTAATTGCTGAAATCTTGCTTTTTTAATCTGTGAGTTCTCCAGCTGTAGCATATATACAGTACATACACACATTAAATATATCGACTTTACTCTCGAGAGCTCTGGAAACTCACTTGTCGTGTTCTGTCTTGCAGATCATCGACAACAAGAAATACCTGGACACATTTTCAAGATGGATCTCTGTGTCAAAGCAAGCTTTTGAGAAGGCTAATGAATTAAATGTAACCGCACCGTTTGCGGCTGTTCTGCGGTTCGTGAACATGAGTAAGGTAGGGGGTAGTAATCCAGTTTTTGTTTTTAATTTCGTCCGCGCCTTTTCCCATAAATCGTGAGTTTGTGTTATCGTCGTTCAGTGTTTTGTTTTTTGGTTGGTTTGGTTTCAGGATGAATACAACAGTTCTGTTTTAGGGGATGAGGTTGTGGCAATTGAGATGGGAGCAGTCATTAGGAATCTTACAGACACGTTAAACATCACCTTCAAGACCCCCAGAAATGTAAGTCCACAGAAGGGAGGCCTTGGCTGAGCTTTTTTTTCATTTATTAAATTTAGAGCACATGTTTAGTGCCACTTTGTTTTGTTTTTCACAGGAGAAAATGACACCACATTGTCACTCATGGGATGGTGACGGTAGGTTTTTTTTCCCAATGTAATCATTTAGCCGTCGTAGACAGGAACAATGGCTTTTAAGCAGTATTAGTTGTGTTCGTGCATTCAAGCCATATTCGCTGAAATGATGCTTCCAGTTAGGGCTTCTGCTGATTGGTCATCTGTAAGCGTGCTGTGTTCGAGGTCATTTGCATCAATGTTTAGTTGACACGATGTTTTCGCATCTGTATATTTGCATGCATTTTTATATTGAGATTCTGAGAAAAAAAATGAGGTTAATGGGGGGAAATTGTTCCATGTTGAAGACTTTACACCTGAGGAAATGCAACATAATGATTCAAAGGCCATTTGGACCTGTCAAGACTAAAATAAACTTAAGTAAGATCAGTGCTCTCTTTTGATTATATGGCTGTCCGGCTGTGTGATCTTCTGTGGGTAGAGAATAAAAAGCAGGACATTGACTTTTTTTATATCATATTTGCGTTCACCAGAACACTGAGGCTGCAGTATTTCGAAGAAAAAAGAAAAACTGTTTATGCTTTTGGAACGTGGCCCTTTTCTTTTTCCTGAAACGTTTAAATATATCAGAAACATCTGGAACATGGCATCAAATGGAAATGAAAGCACACTTTGTTATTCCTCACACCCTCAAGTTTCTGCTCAACAATTTGGTTTGATTGCTTATGCTTGTCCCAATAGGAGACAAACCGAACTGGACTGATTACGGATGTTTAACCATAGAAGAAGAGAGCTCTGTTACATGCCAGTGCACACACATGACATTCTTTGCCATCTTAATGGTTTGTGTTTTCAAAATCCTAATTCACCGAGAAAGAATACTCAAACTTAAACTTTTTGGGTGTTTACTTTTCCATTTTTTCTTTTTCTTTTTTTTGCAGACTCCCATTAATGAAACCATCTCAAGCTATGACCTGAATACACTCACCATCATCTCCCAAGTCGGCTGTGGCCTCTCCATGTTCTTCCTCAGCATAATCCTCTTCATGCACTTCCTTTTAAGGTAGCATCACTCATGGGAATATTTTATGAAGCAAAAACATGAAAATGCCTGTAATAGAACACAATTTCATGATGAAAATGTATTTAAAAAGGTCAGAATTGCCAGACGAAGCAGAAATCTAAACGAAGCCGGTGAAATCTAAATGAAAGAATGAGGGATATGTGGTAGTTTCTGCTCACAGAGACATGGAGAGAAGTGAAAGGCTACAGCAAAAAACATCACCATTGTAAGGATTTGCCTGCGTGAGAAATCAAAAATAGAAAAAAATGTGGGATGTGTCTGAGGGACGCTGATGGTTAACAATGCACAGTCGACGAGGTAATAGTTAAACAAAAAAAGAGTATTTTCTTTAACAGCTGAAGCCGGGAAGGTTTATACTTGTTTGAAAAGTTGATGTATTAACTTCCCAAAACAACATAGTATTGGGGAGAAAATATTATTATCATTTACATAAGGCAAATAAGAGACCTGAATAGAGGCCTTGTCGTGAGACCAGTGGAAAACGTAATTACTTGTACAGTTGACATCCGCGGTCACTCTCACGGCCTCATTTGGAAGTCCGCTCACCACCTGCCTCTGAAAACAAGTCAGACCCGGAGCACTTAACGTCACCTCAGTCTGAGTGCTCACGACACATGCACAGGTAATCCAGCACAAATGTCAGTGTCAGTTCTGTGCCAGAGGCGGCTGGACACAGCCAGATGAAATATAAACAGCTCCGGATCTGGAGCTAGACAGTGTACAGAAAGTCAAACTCAGTATTTTAAAGTAACAAGATGTAACTTTAGGGGTCCTATCTTAACAGGATCTCGCAGTTAAATCATAATGTGAACAATCAGGTCAAAAACAAACAGAGCTGAACAGAAAAGGAGACCATCAAGACCTGCAAGTTCCAGCTGTGGCGACTTATAGACACACACAAAACTGTCACTCAAAATCAAGCAACAAGTAAGCGATAAGAAACCTTGAACAAAACCAAATGCGTCCTCTCTGTAAATGGATCTCTCCTCACAGGAGGACTAAAGCAAGCCAATCCACCATTATCTTCATCCACCTGGTGGCATCCCTGTTCCTGCTGGACTTCACCTTCCTAGTCAACAACCATGTGGCCAACATGCAGAGCTCGGTGGGCTGCAAGATCATGGCCGCTGGGATGCATTACTCCATGTTAGCCACTTTCAGCTGGTTCTCTGCCCAGGCCCTCCACCTCTGCCTCCAGATGTACAAAGGAGGCAACATTTTAATCAAAAGATACGTACTCAAAGTCTCACTGGCTTCCTGGTGTAAGTATGCTGTATCTGGAAAAATACTTTCTAGTTGGTTCTGACATTTGAGTTTAGCAGTTTTGTAAATAACTGGTCCTCTCCGCCTTCTTTTACAGCACTACCAGGTGTCACTGTGATTGTCTTACTCATTTTAGGAAAATATGGGGAACAAACTATCAAAACTGAGGACTCTCAATACAATGTGAAAATGTGAGTTATAAGATAAAGCTGCATATTCCAACATTTGCCCTTTTAACATTCGCTAATGTTTGATTCATCTTTCTGCTTCCAGGTGCTGGATCAACGACAACGACATCCACTACATAGTCAACATAGGCTACTACATGATCGTCTTCCTCTTCACCTTCAGTACGGCCATTATTACTCTGTGGTGGCTCTTTAATCTCAAGAGAATCAAAAAGGACAGTAAGCAAGAAGGTCAAAATGGTAAAGGCATCGTAGCCATCCTGGGCCTGTGCCTGCAGCTGGGCATCACGTGGGCTTTCGCTTTCTTTGCCTACGGCGCCTTCCGGATCCCCGCCACCTACATTTTCACAGTCCTCAATTCTTTCCAAGGTATGTGTATTCGTCACCAGCCCGATGATCTAGAACCTCTGATATTAAATCCCCATTTAAGACTATTTAAAAGTCATTGCTAACCACGATTAGTCAATTCTTTGCTCACGAGATGATCTCAAAGATTTTCAACAGATGAAGTGACTGTAAAATGAGTCTTTGGTTTTAATAATACTCACAGCATCTTATCAGACTGAGCTCAGGACCTGTCTGTGAGCAGTAATTATGGTTCTTAAATGTATCCTTTCCATTAGAATAAGTCGTAGCTGTTAAGGATTAAAAATCGTATCTAATTAATGATTGACTTTCAGCACTACTGAGCCTTTAAAATCAACAGACTGAACAAGGAAACTCCCACATCTGTGTCGGCAGGACCATTATAAATGTTATTAGGTGATAAACAAGGACAGGTGCTTTCATTAAAGTGTGTACAGCTCAGTCACAGGACAATTTCTTTATTCGAAGAAAGTTTAGCCAAAAGTCTTGAAACAGCAAAACACATCATGTATTTAGTTGCAAATAGTCTTTAAGTTTCCAATTGAAATTCATTCACATTTGACAAAGAATTCAAACCGAATCGAATGAGTTGAGGAAAAAAAAGAAGTTCCTCTTTAGTTTCCCACTGTGAAAGGCTAAACTACTCTCTTTTCCCTCTCTGTCGGCCAGGTTTCTTCCTGTTCATCTACTACCAGAAAACAAGCCACTCTAATCTCATAGATTCCAAGGCGAGCAGCGGCAGCAGCAACACTTGCCAGACCAGCACCTGCAGCCTTAAAACCAAAGTGGACACCTCTAAAAACCCTTATAAGAAGTAAAGACGTGCGCTGAACGGTTTGTGGCTGAAACTAGAGTACCGAACTAGGATTTTAAGTTTACTGTGGTGATTTTATTTTGCTTAGTGATAGCAAGCATCTTCCCCATTAAATATATTATTTATGCTTAAATGTTGTGAATGTGAATTGAAATACTTCTGAATTTTGGGTGGGTGAACATCTGCACCAATTGGATAACTTAAATAACTCTTTTCTGAACTGTCCATGTTCAACTTAGACACAGAAATTGGTCCGAAATGGGTAATAGATGGTTTTGAGATTAGATTCTTATGTTAAACCCACAAATCTGTTGTGAAAATGCATGTTTTCCTGTTTAAAAATGTAGAGATGCTGAACATAGGAAATAAGAGCACAAATGAGCGAATACTTCATTTTAATTATTCTATTGCAAGTAAGAAAAAGTCCTAATAACCTAAAACATCAATTACTGTACAAACATTTTCCATAGTTGAGAAATAGCTCTAAAGCTTTACAGTAAGAGCTCCTCGGCTTCTGTTAGAGCTTGTTCCATTTCGGCCACCTGCTGTGAAAAGTTCTCCCGCTCCTGCTTCATAAGGTCCCGGGCTTTTGTGAGGTCCACCATTGTCGTTTGGATTTCCTGAAAGTTTGCAAAAGTACCCCTTAGTGAAAGATGAACCACAGTTAATGAAGGTAGACCGATCAAAGAAGGCAAAAGGGCGGTAAGGCGGGAGCAGGTGCAGCTCACCTCCAGCTGAGAGCGCTGCTGTGATGCAACATCTCCAAAAGCTTTCAACTCCCTCAGCAGCTCTGTAGAAACACTCTGACGCACAGACGGAAATATTTAGGGATCAGCTCGGTGTGTGATAGCAATCTATGCAAAAGTTTTCTTTGTTTTGTTTTAGTAGTTGCGTGACATGATGAAAGTGCATGTTTAATTCTAACTCCGTGTTCTAGTTACTAATAAGTTGTGTGAATTTGAATTGTATTTATGTCTAGTTAAGCATGTAAATATAAGAATTATCAAATAATAAACTACAGATATTAAAATAAAAGCTGAATGAAAGTGTCATACCATAACTTCTTTCCTTTGTTCTTCATTCTGCCGTGCAGCATCCCCCACTCTTTCTCCTAAAACTAAGAGTTAAAGGTCGGATTAGTTCAACTGGGAACTTGACTGAGAAAAAGCAAAGAATGAATTATGGATATGGTATTTTTAAATTTCTTTTACACATTTACCTGGGTCTATTTTAGCAGAAACTAAGACAATGTGACAGTCCTGTAGGTTTTTATGGACCTCTGCATTCTCCTTTTCAAGCTCACTTAACTGCAGCTCCAACTCAGTAACTCTTTGCTACGAAATAAAAATGAATTTAGAACATGGTAGCTAAATGAAGAAGCACAGAAAAAGCCGATGACTCAATTTACCTGCGTTTCTGAAAGGTTTTTCTGCAGTTCCTCATTGGCAGCCGTAGGATGCTGATTCTCCTTCAGCTCTGCTGGCTGCCCATACCTAGTAGAAACCCTAAAAATAGGAGAAATAAAGTTGTGACAAAAGCCAACAGTATATTCAGATGATGTAAACTTATGTTGACTTACCCTTTATGAACCTTAGGAGCAAAGTTTTTCCTAAAAGGCAAGGGAAAAATATGAATCACAACTCTACCAGGCTAGCAAAGTGACTGATTAGATTAAAGCAAAAAGATATGTTTTAGTCTTGAAGCCAGCTGCTGACAAAGAAAGGGACAGGAAATCATCTGTTTCTTACCTTGGAACATTTTCTTTTTGGGCTTTTAGGTTACCATCTGATTTGTGGGCAGCATTATGCGCCACTATGGACCCAGCTGCTGCTTTGAATTGAAGTTTATGTCCATTTTTTTTGGTTTCGGTAGGTAAAATAACACCTGCAAATAATCATGATCATGCAGCGGCTTTATTTAATACATAAATACCAAAATCACAAGACAAGTGAAGAGTATTTGCATAATCTTACCTCTGGGAATTTTTGAAGACATTGCGTATTCAGAAACCTGCATAAAGATGTATCAAGAATTGTCTTTGAAATACAGGAACAATATGAGATAAAAACAATTTAAAATGTGCAAATTTAAAAATAATGTTCTCTCAATAGACAACGCTAACTGATGTGAGCTGTTAAAGTCACGTGTTACCTGACAAACTACCTTTATTAATTCATTAGTATTTTGATGAGGAGCACAATGCACACGAAAGAAGTAAATTCACTAAGCAAGAAATACAAAAAGGAAGACTTCAATATGTTCATTACTCAATATTCAATTTCAACATCAAGATATTTCCATTTTGAATATCAGCTTTACATTTTTGTACTGAACTCTTTGCAGCATTTAATATTAGTTTAATTAACACAGCTTAAGGTAAATAGTCGTGATTAAAACACTATTATGCACGTGTTCGTATGATAATGCAATAAAAATGCCTACCGTTGTAGCTACTCTGTGAAGGCGATTTGACAACAACAACGGTCAGAAACTAAGACACGAATTTTAAAAACGTCCCGCCCATAATGATCACTTCCGATTTGTCAACGTTTTCCGGTTTGAATAAAACGACTTCACAGCTTTTCAAAACTTTTTTATACCTTGATCAATCCAATATTGTTACAGAAATAATAAAAAATAAGCAATAATGAAGCTGTTTTGAGAATCTCTAATGACAAAAATTAACTAGGAAAACAATAAAATGTGAGAGAAACTGCACACGAAAACAGTCAGCGCGCATGCGTGGGGGCGGCTAAATTCAAAACTCCAGACGTTAGCCTTGAAGCTCGTTGATGTTAGCTCCAAGTTGTCGGTTCGCGCATCGACTCAAAGCCACAGTTACATTTTGTGAAATAAAGCCGCTTCACAGATGATAACACATATGTACCTATCGTAAAACGAGGCAATAACAACGTTAAGGTATGTAACGACATGTTTATACGGTGTTATCACTTATTGTGTTGTCTGTGCCAGGTAGCACCAACGTAAGCGTTTAGTATTTAAAAATGCGGATTTTTACTTAAATTGGGTAATTTTGCCTAAGAAACAAACTAACTATTGTATATTGGCGTTATACTTATCATTTTGACGGTTTAAACTACATATATATGTATGCGTGTAATCAAAAATCATTCTGGAAGGTTTACAACAATAAACCTTTTATTTTACTATACAAACCATCAATTCGGCAAATTGTTTTTGAATCCACGTAGAATGACCATTTTGTTACTAATTCAGTGTAGCAGTGACAGATAATTAAATTGATCATGTATGTCAATAAAGAATAGTGCATCTTCTTACCTTTTCAAAACAAATATTAAACAGAAGTTGTGACTGTTTTTATATCATTGCAGTTTAAGATGGAGCCTCTGGATCCTGCCAAGAATGTGTAAGTACAACTAGTGATGTAGAGATTTTTGGTGCTTAAATCACAGAGCAAGTCTTTTTTCCAGTAGCCTGCATTTTTACTCTTTAATTTGACATAGGTTTTGTGATCTTATTGTGTGTGTCTAACTGCAGCTGATAACAGGTAGCTCATATTTAAATCCATCACCTGATTATTGTTTTGTTTTACAGTGACAGCGGTGGATTTTCCAAGCGCCGAATTTCCTCGGTCAGTGTTGTGAAGGGCATCGACTGCACATAGCATGTGGATGACACATTAATATAAATTTGTTTTTTGTTTACTTCATTCAGATTTTGAAAGCTCCACGGAAATCAACTTTAATCTGTGACCCAGAGCAACAGGAAAACAAGGTAACATTGGAAGAAGTGGTAGTGATGTTGCAGACAGATATTACCTCTATCAGAGTTTAACAACACTGTGGATTATGCCCTCTTTGTCTAAAAGGATCCCCATTTTTACGAATCCCCTCATGGGAACTTTTGTACAGCTTTTTCTCCATACAGAACCACTGAACCTAGTAATCAAAGTAATATTAAAAACAAAGTTGACACAAGCCATAAGAGGTTTTACTGCAGTCTGCCGGTTTTCTCTTTGCTTATGTTGTCATAGGTGATGTAGTCTTAGTTAGGGTCCACAATACTGTTACTGCAGATTAACGATTAATCATGTTTCCAAAAAACATCATGTTTTTGATTGTTCAAGTTTTAAGTAGCCCAATAGAGACGGCATATCAATAATTAGTAACATTAATATTCGATAGAATAACAATTCAGTATTATAAATGTATAACAACCACGTACATTGTCATTCGGTTTATCTTTCTATTTCCATTGTCACTAAGGTGGAAAGTACCAAAGCCGTTGAAAAAAGGAATTCAAGGAGAGTCAGCTTTGCACCTGCCAATGATGTTCTACTGTTTGCCAAGTGAGTCATCACAGGGAGAAAAATAGAGCCTTGATTTATTTTTCTTTCCTTTTTTTGCTTGCTTGTTTTATTACCTTTCTATCATTTTAGCCAAACCCTTTTTAAATGACTTTTTTAGGGATGCCAAAAATTCCTCTCCTGCCCGAAGCCCTCTACAAGAGTTAATTACAGCAAGTATGTTATATTGTACGATTTCTTATATTTTTATTTTTGAATGTTAATTGTTCATAATTGTTGGTTTGTGTTAAATCCACAGCTGCTGCAGCAACACAGAATAGGTGAGATGATATGATTTTACAGCTCTTCTCAATTTAAGTTAAATGTAATACCTACACAAAAAACAATCAAATCCATTTATTACAACCTTAAAACGATGTTTCCTTACTAAAGGGTCCAGGTAGTGGTCACTGAAGATGGGGGTCAACAAATCATGGGTAGGATTTGTGTTTCCTTTTTTTAATTTACTGCACAATAAATGCTAACATGACCTGATATGATGTAAATCATGGCCTCTGAATTGAGCTGTTTACATTTAGGTATAGAAAACCTGTTGAGTGCTCCTCTACACATTTCTCAACAAAGAGATATGGTAAGTGGTTTTTATCAGTGTCTTTTACCAGTTTTACGACTGGACTACATAAAACTTGAAACTGAATGCCGATTTACTGTCGCTGCTTGATCTGACTTATTAGGTCAGCGCCGATGGTGGGAACGACGGGGAGCAAACTGTGATGTTTTCCACAGAGGACGCGGTCATGGACATGACCCACAGTCACACCATAAACATTGCCAGTGATGCGCAGTTGCTTGGAGACATTCCTCTTCAGAACAATGATGTTATACTCAAAGGCAGGGAACAAAAAGGGGCTGTAGATGGTGGATCCGCAGATATGTCGCTAAATCATACTGGAAACATAACGAGCACATTAGGATCACTACTGACGGACAGAAATGCAGATTTAAGTAACACAGAGAAGAAAAATATATCAAAAGTAGCATCTATGGATCCTGGATTTGAGAACTTCCTTGCAAGTCTCTCCAAAACAAGCAGTTCCAGCAATGCTGGGATCACCAAGAGGACGCCTTTGGCTGGATCACTCTCTGAAGAGACAAACTTCTCCCTTGGCGTGAATAAAACACCCAGAGATGTTGTGGACAAAGAAAACCTGGTTCCAAAGTCACTAAATACCACCAAGAAGACTGTCGGGCCGCTTCAAGGGTTCTTTCCAGGCGACGATGTGAGCATGGACATATCTGCAGCGCAGACAGGCCCTATTTCGGGAACTGGTGATGATGATGACCCGTTTCAGTGTCTCTTTCCCTCCGAGTACATGTATGCAAGAGCATCGCAGATGGCTGAGTTGAAACAGCAGCAAAGCAGTGAAATTGTGGGAGCAGTAGATCTGAAAGGTACAAAAAAACTATTTTTTTAAATAGTCTCAGTAATAGAATGGTCAGTGTGACTGACCACTTGAATTTTAAAGTTAACTTTTTAAACTTTGACAGGTTTTATGTTAAAATTCTGTTTTGTTTTTTATTTCCACATTCAGAAATCACCTTGAAGAACCCTCCGTCAAATGCTCATCAAAGACCTGTTGTGAGTCTCAGACTGATTTCACTTTTCTTTTTATTTTGTTTTTTCATGTATAAAATCCATGTCAGGTTTTAACATTCAGTCACCGCAACAGTCCAGTTATAAATGACAGTTTAGTGAGTTGGTGTTAACCTGATGTCTTTTGTTTCTCAGGTCAGCTCCAGTACAGCTTACTTTGAATTTCTTATCAATGTTTTTCTGTAGATTATATTTTAAAAAATGGAATTGAACTCATTTTTTTATTTGTTGGTGTGTTTTGGACATGTTATCTCTTTACAGTCACCCTTAAATGTCTTAATAATGAGCTAATAGCTCCAAAGTTTGGTATACGTGTTGTCTTCTGCTGATTGGCCTTCTCCTTTTCCACAGGAAAACATTTCAACTGAGGAGGACTATAGAGAGAAAACAGTGAGGTTTTCTGCAGATGATGCCTGCATGAATGAGACACAAAGTCACACTGTAAACATAGCCACCGGTTTTAAACCGCAATTGCCCAAGAGTGGGAGATCTTCACCCACATGTGGAGAGAAAACTGTGAAGTTCTCTGTAGATGATGCCGCGATGGATATTACTCAGTGCCTCACAGTGAATATTGCCAATAATATGTTGTCAGATTCAGTCAACTCTGAGAGGAAACACGAGGGTGAGACCTGTGGTCCACCTGAAAACAGATACTCATCCACACACAGTTTGGACCCAGGATATGATAACCTTTTGGCAAGCTTATCGATACCAAGTGACGGGAGTGTTAGACCGGCACAATCCATTGGCCAGACAATCTACGTGGAATATGACTCGGTCATGGATATGACTGAACCTCAGACCGGGGGCGTTTTGGAGGGTGATGTGAGCATGGATATGACCGAGGTCCAGACAAGCCGCATCTTTGAAACCACGGGTGCAGATTATTTAGCCTCAGGAGGCATGTACCAACAAGGCTATAAACCAAAGAAGACAGAGACGACTTCACATCTGCAGAGTAGTGGAGAGCCCGAGTCATCTAACAGTCACGGTACAGAGGCTGCAAAACCTATTTATTTCAGTTAGAATTTCAGAAGCAGACAATCTTATGGAAATATTTTCCTAGAGGTTGACATTTTTCCAAGAAAGCTGCTTAGTTCAAAATTGTAATTAAATAATTTCTCTCTTTCTGTTCAGGTATGGAAAAGTTTTTGAAGACTTCTTTGCAGACAACAATGCAAAGACAACAGGTGAGATTAAACATGGAGTTTCTCCTTTAAAAAAAAGATAATCTTTTCCTCACCAATTACATTTCAAAGTAGTTTTCAATGTTGGTGTGTCTAATGCACTGCAGGCCAAACGAAGTGATGAGCCGTTTGGCTTCTTAGAGAATACCGATTTGTAATATTGCAATGTTTATTCTTGTTTTTAATGAATAGGAGTCATTCAACTTTTCAGTGAAAGCTAATTGTTTTGTTTTTGCTCTTTTCCTCAGATTAAGTTGGAAGCCGAAGATGTCCGCAAAGATAAAACAATCAGGTTTTTTTGTGATGACGCATGTAGGGACGTCACACAAAGTCACACCGCGAAAATCGTCACCAATTTACCACTGCTGTCAAAGCAGAACATAGACATGCCTGCCAGTGGAGAGAAGACCGTGAGGTTTAGTGCCTATGACGCAGCCATGGACGTCACAAAAAGTCACACCGTCAACATTTCCACCGATCTGAATTTGCTTTCACACCAGAATTTGGACTATTTGACTGCTAATGGAGAGAAAACTATGAGATTCACAGCAAAATCTGCAGACATGGACATGACCAGAAGTCTCACTGTCAACATTGATACTGATTTGGACACGCTGCCACAAAAAAATGAAGACTTCCTACCTGCCATTGGAGAGAAGACGGTGAGGTTTAGTGCCTTTGACGCAGCCATGGACGTCACAAAAAGTCACACCGTCAACATTTCCACAGATCTGAATTTGCTTCCACAGAAAAAATTGGACTATTTGACTGCAAGTGAAGAGAAAACTACGAGATTCACTGCAAAATCTGCAGCCATGGACATGACGAGAAGTCTCACTGTCAACATTGCTACTGATTTGGAAGCACTACCACAAAAAAATGAAGACCTCTTACATGCCGGTGGAGAGAAGACGGTGAGGTTCAGCACGGACAACGCAGCCATGGAAGTGACGAGAAGTCACACTGTCAACATTGCTACCGATTTGGTTATGGAAACGCATCAAAATGAGGACCTCCTACCTGCCAGAGGAGAGAAGACGGTGAGGTTTGGTGCTTATGATGCAGCCATGGACGTCACAAAAAGTCACACTGTCAACATCTCCACCGATCTGAATTTGCTTTCACACCAGAATTTGGGCGTTTTGAGTTCAAATGGAGAGAAAACCATGAGATTCACAGAAAAATCTGCAGCCATGGACATGACCAGAAGTCTCACTGTTAACATTGCCACTGATTTGGACACGCTGCCACAAAAAAAGGAAGACCTCCTACCTGCCGGTGGAGAGAAGACCGTGAGGTTCAGCACGGACGACGCAGCCATGGACGTCACAAAAAGTCACACCGTCAACATTGCTACTGATTTGGACACGCTGCCCCAACAACCTGTGGACCTTTTGCCTGCCAGTGGAAAGAGGACTGCGAGGTTTGCAGAACATGATGATGCTATGGACGTGAGAGGAAGTCGCTCCACTACTGCCACCCATTTTGAAACCAGCAATGTAAGGACTGAGGCTGTTGCTGTGAGGAACACCCCCAGGGCCCTGGCACACGATCCCACTGCCAATAACTCAACCAACTTTGAACGAAAGCCACATCTAAGTGCAGACCTCGTTCCTCCACATGGAGAGAAAACCGTGAGGTTCACTACAAGTGATGCTGCTATGGAAATGACCCACAGCCTCACCGTCAATATTGCCAGTAATTCTACTTTTTCTTTGCCGGACCAAACGGAAGAAAGGGTGAAGAAATCTGACAGCGAGGATGATGCTCCACATTTAAAAGTGGCCTCATCAGCAGATAGTTTAGATGGAAAATTAAAAAACCTGCTGGCTGAAGCAAGTGGTCCCTTGGACGGTCAGAGAGCACACCTTCCACATACACCATTTCCTCCAGAAACTCTTGTTTCAGCTGACTGTCAGGGGCAGTTAAAAAGGCCGAAATCCAACACGAGTGCTGAAAATGAAGCTCCAGGATTGGTTTCGACTTTTGAGAAGCCAGTGAATAAAACAGTGGCCGACTGTTCAGAAATCAGTGCAAGCATGGACATGACTGAGGTTCAAACGGGGTGCATCCTGGAACAAACTTACTCAGACGAACCCCCTGACAGTCGAAGTTTTGATCCTGTGAGGAAAAATGGGCTGTCTTCCCGTAACACTGAGGCACTGGTAATATCCAGCCCAAATGCTTTGGAAATCACAAATCCTCCACATTATCCGGACTCAAATGAAACGGAGGCCACGAAACCAGGACCTGCGGCCTGTCCTGTGACACAGAAGCTGGACAGTTCGCCAGGTGTCGACACCAAGAGTGCACGGACGTCGAGGCGCATGAGTCTAGCTGACCTCCAGTCGAAGGTGAGGCGTTTGAGCCACATGATAAATGCAGCGCCTGAAGAGACCGCCACGGACATCTGCACGGCCCCTTTGGCCCAGTCTGACCCAGACCTGGAGGAAAACCCGGAGGCTAGAGCCCCGTCTCTGCCCGGGGCCGAGCCAGAGCCGGAGGTGAGCGCGGGAAACGGCGCCGAGCAGCCGTCCGAAATAACTCCGGCCACGCCCTTCAACCTGCAGACAAAACGGCTCATGTCCAGACTGTCAGTGGGAGGCTTCAAGGCAAAACTGCCCCGCAGGAGCAACGCCGAAGAGGTAAAGAAGATGACCGCTGCCGCCAGCGCAGCCAATCAGCTGAAAGAGTCGGGGAACGACGTCAGCGACATCGACGATGAAGAGCTGGGCAGCTGCGAGGACATGTCGGAAACACTGGACGGCAGGAGTCCTGACCACGTCTCTGCGGTGGAGCTTGCCTCCCTGGAGTGGGACGTGTTTGAGCCTTCGAAGGAAGATCTGTTTCAAGAAGGCCGCTTTGGTCCCGTCCACAGACACAAGAGACCTCTACCGGAGGATGAAGTCAAAAAGGAGGATGAGAAGAGACTGAGAGCGTGCTCAGAGTTTGTGGAGCCGGTATGTCAATTACTTTATGAATGAATTGAGAGCTGTATATTCAAGATTAGAATTTAGATTGAGATCAGCAATATCAGTAAATTGTGCTTTTAAAATAAGTAGATGACAATATTTAAGCTAATGGTAGAAATAAACAAATAATCACAGTTCTGTCTGTGGCTGCTGCAGCTTTACAGGTTCCAGATTGATCTGTGCTGTTTTTTTGAGAGATTCACTCCTTTGTTTCTCTCCAGGCTCTTCAAAGCGACGCTGCTGACTGTGAGAGGGACGTCACTACAGCTCAGGCCGCCACGCAGAACGTCGACTCCTCCAGTCACAGTCACACAGCCAGCAGATGTGAAACGGCCTACGAGTCAAGTGAGTGGCTTTGATTTGAAATGATTAGGAATGATTGAGGTACAGTGAAGATATTGGTTTGATGTTTGTATGTTTTTGTTGTTTTCAGCCATCAAACACAGCCTGTTTGAATCCTACCTTGAGGATTATAACAGTGATGTTCAGAAAGTATGTTCTTCTTTTCTTTCTTTTTTTATTTATATATATATATATAATCAAAAACATTTTTTGAATACCTCTTGTAACTCCTATCAATCGATCACAGAAACTAGAAGACGGCACAATAACAGTTTTGGAGTTCTTCAAGCTCTTCAACATAGACTTCGTCATCCACAATCCTCGGCAAAGTGTAGTTCCAGGCAGAGTAAGTTCACCTCAATGTACATATAAAAAGCCTACGTTTGTACAGCTAAATAAGATATAATGTGTTTTTGTTTTTGTTTTTTTCTTGAAGCTTTTGTCAGACACAGATAGCACACCAATGGATTTATTGAAAGACCGGCACATAAGCCGCCCCAAACAGCTGGTCTATGACTCGGACATCCAGAGCCTGACAGAGAGGGTTGAAGGGTATGAGAACATGGTGATGAGTGAAAAGGAATGAGCTCTGTACATGCAGTATTTAAAGAAATGTGCCTACATGATGGAGAAGAGCTTCTTCTCATCATCTTCTATAACCTGAAAGCCTCTTAAAATCCTGAAATACAACTAACAGATGCATGATTGTAAAAAGTTAGCAATATTATTTGCATGATCTGTAAATTGGGATATATGAGTAAGGGTTTAAAAAACAATCGCTTTTGTTCCCTGTCCAGGTTGAAGGTTCGAATGCAGGATCTGGACAAACATCTTAAGGCTGTGAATCGAGCGTTGTGGGAGGAGATGAGGCACTCCACAGAGGAAGAGGTAAGAAGAGAAGGTTTGCTTAACTTCTATAAGGGATTGTTCATAGATTGAGTCTATGTTGTTTTCTATGCGTGAAACTTCTGGATCGTCATAAATTCGCTTCACCTCCCTCATTTGTTTGAATCAACAGATCAAATCTTTCGGTGCTAAACTAAAGGAGAGAAACAACTTCTTTAGAAAAATGAGCAAAGTTCAGTCGCATGAAATGAAGGAGCTTCTGTACTCTAACCTCGTGCAGGCCAACATGGTGAGGACTCGGTTTCAGATATTCAGCTCCGACACTGAGGACCAGGAATTTGAACTTCTCTGAATATTCTCCTCTTTCCTTCAGGCAGAGCAGCAGAAACTGAGAGGAAAAATAGAGGAGGCGGATGTGATGATTAAAAGTCTGGATGACTGCATCGGTCAATTACAAGCAGGTATGTCTCCAGCTGAGACGGGGGTGTCGCGTTGGTGGCCAAAAGGCGGCAGAAGCACTTTACCCGACGTTTCTCCTCTTCCCACTCAGAACTCACCGCGGTTGAAGAAAAAGGATCTGAAGATAAACCCAGTCTGAAGACCCTGCAGGAAGGTGCGACATTAAGCAACCCGATCTATTTAATCACCATTGCTGTATTCTTCTTGATATGCCTTTGAACATAAAACATTGTCCTTATTGTGTTCTCTGTCTACAGAAATGAAGCGAGTCACTGAACGCTTGGCCGACAGTGACAGGTGAGGTATTCAGTAGCTCGTCCATTTGGCTTTCATTTCCCCCCAGTTATTATGGGTTCTGAAAAACAATATGAATGTGGAAACATCTCTTCATTTTAGGCAAATAACTGAACTGGAGATGCAGAAAAAGCAGAATTCAAGCAAACTCACCAGGCTGAAAGCTGAGACGAGGAACCTGGAGAACCATGTGGATGTGCTCAATGAGTCAGTTTCTGAAGTCACAGACCTTTTTATAAAAAATAAAATAACTGACGTTTTCGTGTGCGACCATCAGGTGAAATCTTTTTTTTTTTTGTTTTTGTTTTTTAACATTAGGTTAAACGAATGGAAGTTCAGAGAGAAGAAGGACGACTGCTCAGTCTACAGTTTCCTCCATGAGACCATGCTCCTGCAGTTGGTGTATGAAAAGTCCAGTGGTATGGCTTTTTCTGGTCTCCTAAAACATCGTCAGTAAATTGCCTGAAATGATGACTAAATGCTTAACTGACTAACTGCCACCTAACTGACTAACTGCCACCTCTGTGTTTTACTCTCTTTGAAACATTCTTTTCCTGGGACTCGACTGCTTTCGGACCGCTCTAATATCTTTTCCTGTTTTTAAGGAAGTGACGCAGACATCGAATCGGAGCAGAAGATAACAAGCATCGCCTTTAAATTAGAGCTTGATGGTGAGAGACTGAAACCGAGGAGTTTGTGTTTCTGCGGCCTAAAATAATCTGCATGTGGTCGGATATCAGCATCTTTAGTGAGGATATTCTAAAACACCTGCTGTCTTACCAGATGAGAAGTCCCAGTTCCACGCTCGCCTCGTTCACAAACTGGTGTCCCAGTACGTTGAGGGAGAACCGGCCTGGGTGGAGAAATACCCAACCAGCAGACATCTTCCCAAGGTAGGTGTGAATGGAGCCGGGTTTGGTTTTAGGAGCGTTTTTGAAGGCGGCGCCCTCGAGACAGAGCACTGAACTGATGGTTTCTGCCGTTTGGTCCAGCTGCTCCATGACATCAGCCTGGTGGTGAGTCGCTGTCGTCTGCTGGGAGAGGAGCTGCGTCTGCTGAAGACGTGGGGAGCTCTACGGCTTAACATTCTCCACATCGACTGCACGGGCACCCGGTGAGAGCTCGTCTTCCCTCCTTTACCACCCATCCATGAAACTATGATGTTTTTACATCCAGACTCATAAAAATATGACTTGTGAAGTTCTCTGATAACATTTTGCTGCATGTTCTCAGTCTGAAATCATTACCATTTTCTACACCTTTAAACTAGAAGAGAAACACTCTGTTTAATAGTTTGTTTTCCTGCAGAGTCCACGTTGTCTTCAGCAGTTTGAAGACATTTTCCAAGTTTGAGGTGGTCTTCTCCGTCGGTTTGGGGGACCAGTCCTACGTCCTTCATGTAGAAAGCTTCAAAAACATCACTGGGAGCACAACGTAAGTCAGAGTGGGACGTAAAAGCGGCAGGAATGCTGGGGAACCCCTAACACTATAAGTTCCTCTGGAGATTCAGATTCTAAAGGGTTCGTTTGACTTGAGGGCTTTCTTTGCTCCACACAAAATGTTCCTCATTGAACTTCTGAACATTATAGGTTCTGTTTGGTCTCTGTCTAAAAAGTTAAGAAGTAATCTCTTCCTTTTGAAGCCAGACTTACTAAATCAATTCAATCAATTTGTTTCTTTGCAGAATCCAACAGATCGAAGAAATCATGACATCCTTCACTCCAGCCAGGAACTTGTTGACTAGGATCATCAAAAAGATTAATAACACTTTGCTGTGTTGACCTGATCTACGTCCACCATCGCATTTCCATCCAAGCTCTTCGTAATTGAACTCCGTATTGTAAAGACATTAAAGCTTTCTTTTCTATCGAGAAGGCTTTCTTCTTTTTTTTTCTTTTGATAGATATATAGTGTACAGTTTCCGCTCAATTATTTTTCCTATTTGTTGTAAATAACTTTTCTCTGCTTGTTCTAATGGAAAAAATACATTATAGTGTTGGAATGAAAAATTCCGGTTCAGCCTTAAATTGGATCCACTTAACATTATTTGGAAAGACTCTCGAGTCCAAATGTTTTTTTGTTTTTTTTTTTTAAACTGGTGGGAAATTACTCTTGGTGATGTCTGATGAAATGGATCATAATGAATTTAAACTTCTTGTAGAATTTGGTTCAGTTCATATTTTCCTAAATGATTTGAAATCTGCTTTTTGGTGTTCTGTGGCTTCTTTCAGTTTGTGACTGATGAAAGTCACAAACTTTCAACTTACAGCAGCTTAAACCACTGAACATTTAGTTTGTAAATATCTTCAGTTTTTTTATACTAAGTGTCAAAAACGAATAATCTCTTTGAAAAGGATGACTTTGTACTTTTTCATTCGATTGTAAAATAAATATACACTTTTTGCTTTCTCTGAATTTCTGTGTTTTATTTTTCTTCAAAGATGCTCGTGTTGTAATATTTTAGTGATAATAAACAAGTAACCGAATGTGAAATGACTTTAGATATGACTTAATGTCTTTTGCTGTGCTGGGATCGAGCTTTAGAGGGCGCTGTGGGTCTATGAATGATGATCCTTTGACTTTTTTTGTAGGTAAAAAACTGTCTGTGGTTTGTTAATTTCCCCCCACCCTTCCTGAAACAGAGGAACTGGCATAAATAGTTTAAATATTAAATATGTTTAAATTACACGTACCCTTGATCTTGCAGCTGTCATTGGTCCAAAACAGTCAAAAAGTGACTGACACGGACAGTGTCCAGAGTTCATCTGAAAGGTCAAATGACCAGAGAGGAGGCTGGAAAATGATGGAGGGACGAGGGGGGGGGGGGGGGGGGGGCACGCGGGGTGTGCCCGGAGGGGTGAAATCAAGGGTCAGAGTGGACTTTCCAAACCGTCACCCTCGAGTGAGCCATCAGGGGAGAGTGGTTCCACCCTCCTGCCCCCAGCAACAATGGCTGCGGTCAAGCTGAATGGGGGACAGCGGTGTATGGATCCCCTGACCCCCCCCCCCCCCTCCAGGTCACCACCGACCAGCTCCGATCAATCGGCGGAAGGATTATTTGTTATTCTCAATCATCAGATCAACTTACAGCGGTGCTGGGACAGTCCGATGTTCTGTGTGATTGTATGTTTTTTGTTGTTTTTTTGGGGGTGTGTGGTTCAGGAGAGATCAGGTCAGGGTCACAGAGTGGTGCTGCTGAGAAATGCGGCGGGCAAACGTAAACAAAACAAAGGAGACGAAGGGGAAGAGACGGATTGGGCACAGAGAGGAAGATACCTGCGAGGTGTTGGAGGGAAAAGTGGAAGAGCTGGTCGGAGCAGGAAATGTAGGTTTTGGGATGAGGGGCCAAAATGGAAAGCCTTCTTCAGACGTGCTGTGGGTCTGAATGGCAGCGGGGGGTTTTCTACTCTGGTCGTCTGGTGAAGAGGAACCTTCATTTTGTCGTTTCATTTAAGTTTTAGTTTAAACAGCCCAGACACTCTCCCATTGGAATCATTCAAATTCAACCTTTTCTTTCTTTCCCCGGTCTCTTTTCATACTGTGAAGGAATGATTACACAAACTGTGCTTATTCCCTCCTCTGAAATTAGGAGCAATTTTCTACCATCTCTTTAATTTCTGTGTTGCTCCACTCAGTCGCAGCTGGATAAATGACCATCTCGTCACTGTTGTAAAGTGCAATCAGTTGAAGACGAAATGAATAAATCACTGGCTGTTGCAACATGGCCGGAGGTTAAGAAGCAAGAAATGGAGCTGAAAAGATGGTGAGCGTGCATGGCCCCCACAACGCAGTGCATGTTAGCACAGCAGAGATCACGTTATTACAGTTAGTGTAAATTTAAATTAAACCTGATATCTGCGTAATTGTCTTTAAAAACATATACAAAAGTAAGTAGGAATGTCTTTGAATTCTTCTGGTTTCATACAGATATGTTATCTGAATCAAAATTCCACAAATCTTCCAGATTTTTCTCACACATAAGAGCTGTGATCCAACCACAAATCACTGCATGAAATTATGAGTCTGAACACTCTGGATTAAAAAAACTATAAACACATGGGAGAGGAGAATCTTACAGGGGGTTAAAAACACTCCGTCTGTGGTGGAAACTGTTTTTGTTTCCCCCCCGGAGTGCATCATCACACGAGAGATCTGGGGAAACATTTCTCTTCCTGCAGCCGAATGAACGATCTCATAGCGTCTGGGATTCAATTAGGCAGCAGCACATTGTCACCACGGCGGACCCCTAATTCTGTCAGGTGGAACATTGTGTCTCACACCGCCCGCGTCAAATCCGTTTATCCCGAGATCCAGAGGCAGTATTTCACCCACCTAACCTCATCAGTGTCCCCCCGCCGACACCAGCAGGACAGTAGAACCGGGGTAACATCGTTTGTTTGGGATGATGGAAAGCGTGTTTTCAGATGAATTTGTTTTCAGGCCTGAACGGGACCATCTACCAATCAGAGGGGAGCTTTATTCCAGGCCGACGGACACGAGAAGCGCGTGCAGGTTACTGTATTTAAACCTACTCGTAAGGATAATACTGACAATAAGAAGAGAATGATCACATTTAAGTGTTGGAAAAAATCTTGATGATGTTTCTTTATTTAAGATACAAAAAAGAACATCTTGACACCTACATTTAGAGGGCCTGTTATTCTGTATGAGATTTTGTTTTGGGTGGCGTCTTGTTGGCTGTTTTACCTGATTTCTGTTCCCATGGGAATGGTTAATTTGAGGATTCTTCCATTTCAATCCATGATATGATAGAAATATGTAACACAGTAAATACGCACAAAATCAAACTCAACTGAGGTAAATTCATTACTAAAAGACACCTGGCCAGCCCAGAAAGTGTGAATGATTTCTTCAAATCGAGGATTTTTTCCACTGTTTTTGGTTAGAGATGTCTTAGAATCGAAGTCCCAGTTCAAACAATCCCACACAAACAATAACTTTTTGTGTCTAAACCCGTCCCGCTCAAAGCTACCCTGCTCAATACTGTAGGCCAGCTGTGGAGCTTAAGTTTTCATTGTCAGGATTGTTAGGGAGCATTAGAGAACGTCTTAATTGGTCCTTCCAGGCAGGTAATTAGCTCCGATGGCATGTGCTCCCACGGTGAGGTGAATGACGGGGGGGGGGGGGGGACACGGCCACGTCCTGCCCCTCACCCCGGTCACCAATACACAAGGAAAAGACTGTGGGACCCACAGAGACGCCACATTCTCCACTCATTCTTGGTGGAAAGACAATGGGTCTGGCTTGTTAAAATAGTCCCCCCCCCTCTCAGCAGGTGGGACAGAGGAGCAGCAGCAGCTGTCCCGTGGGTTCAGGCTTCAATGATCAGAGCACCCGGCCCACAGTTTGACTCGTGTGGGGACACAATGCGGGATGCGGTTGGGTTAGGGTCGGGATTAGATGATTCCTGGAGTTCCTGGAGATGCTGGAGAAAAACGCACCATTGTGTTGGCAACATGCCAAACCTTCTCACAGGAGTTCTACCGGCATCCCAGTGCTGAATCCTCAAAATGACCACGTATGTAATGATCTGTACAACCACAAACTACAGATCATGTGACTGAATATAGGTTTTACTTTGCTTCCAAGTTAGGAATAAAGTATCAACCCTGTACTAACCCCTGTGGACCATCAAAATCTAGATATCTGATGCAGATTTGGTCATCTACAGTAAATCATAAGTGTGTTAGTTACCTTCAGCTGACTTTATTCTGCACTAATACCGACACTTTTCTTCAGCTTGAGGTCATTTCATGTTTATTTGTATCGAAGGAAGACAAACAAGGGCCAGAAACCCCACCAAGCCAAGGCACATTTGTGGGTGAGGCTTCTATTCTCTGGTAGAATAATGAGGACAAAAAACACTAACTCTGGCCACGTTTAGGAAGCCCACATCCAGGGACTGACGACAACGGGCCGCGGGGGGGTTGTTCCGAAAGTTGGAGGAAACGTAGTCTAGAGTTCACCAGGAACCCAGTAAACCAGCAGAGACAGCACCAAAACGATGGAGCGATAGTCACTTGCTCAGAGTGGACTTTTGGGAGAACATTGATTACATTGATTGGATTCCTTTAAATATGCCAACACACAAAGCCCTCAGCTCCAGCCATGTCACTGTCACATCTCGCTGTCTCCAACAAGGCTCCTCACGGACCCCCAACACACAAAGTGCACATTTCTTTGCGGCGTTATCACGTGCCCTTTTGACACGCGGCGCTATTTTGAAACCCGGCCTCGCGTGGGGGGATTTGGGAGCGTCTCCTCCGCAAGGCCAGTGGCGGCTGAGCGTCCAGACTGCTGGACGGGTGGAAGGCGGCCATCTTGACCCACACCTTGAGCTCGCTAACAGAGGCGCAGCGGCCACCTTTGCTAAGTGCATTCCCAAGGCCCTGGCTTCAATCCCTGCTTGACCCCGACTGATAAACTATGGAGATATGGATAGGCCACAAAAAAAAAGATTTTCCCCTCCAAAATACACATTAGTAAAGTTCTCTTTGAGCTACGTGGACCCAAACTTAGACAAAACAGCTGCTAGCTTAGCAATGAGGCTATTCACTTTTTTTCCACATCAGTAAAAATCTTTTTTTTGTGTTTTTTTAATCCAAAAATGCATTTGCTTGTGAATATAATATAATCTTAGGGAAGCTAAACTCCATTGACTGTGTCAACACCCCAGAATATGATTTTTCCATTGAATTTGTGTTTTTAACTTAGATTCCTTAAAGTTGTGAAGACAGAGCAGGTTAAATTTTGAGGACGGACTGGGAGACGGATGCGGTGGCTTCAGGGGGCTCCATGGTTGAAGTCGAGCTAAGTCCAGGGAAGTCTGGCCTCCATCATCTGCCTGCGGACTGTAATTGGTCGTGACTGACACGGCTCTCGTCCTCCATGTTCTCAGAAGGACGGGATTAACACGTTACGGGTGCCCCGGGACGTGGCCGAGGAGCTGATAAGACTTTTGGAAAAACCTCTTTGTATGCGATGTTCACACGAGGCCCAGGAATAGACCCGACATCAGGCGCTGGCATTAGACCTCACCTTGGAGGCAAAAAAAACCCGTTTGGCTCTTCCTTCGGTGAATTTGTTCACGCATTGCCAAGGCGGGGAACAACACCCAGGCGGTAGATAAAAATTACTATAACAGATAACCTGTCACCAGGCAGGAGTGGCTGTTGCACCGAGTTATGCACAGAAGACTGAACACAACCACATACCCTGCACACAGCTGGGTGGAGAACAGACTAGACTGGAAATGCAACCCGGAGTTAACCTCCAAGAAAAAACAGAGCTCGTTTTTATTTCCTGAAGTGTTTTTTTTATTTATTTTTTTGCAGAAAGACGTTTTTAACTAGTTCATGTTTTATGGAGCGGATTTCTTTGCAGGCATCTGTTGGGGAAGCAGCATCAGAACCAGAGAGTCAGGGGAGCTGATGCTGAACGGGGTCAGGGTCACGATAAGGAAGGCTGGTTCTAATCTTAAAAAAAGGCTGTTTGAAAGCATCTTCAACACTACACACAAATCAAACAACATTGGGCCTTAACCACCACTTAAAGAGTCCAGGAGGATTTTTTAAAAATGAACTTTTTTTTTGCATTCAAGGAAAGATCAGTAGATAATATCACCTTAGTTGTAACATAGTTATCAGTCCTTTGGCAAAATACTGGTAGTTACTTTTTATTAAGGCTTAAATCAGCAACTTTGTTTCCAATAAAACTGGGATGCTGCATAAACTGGAGATATGCCGAAGACAGCTTTTAGTAAATTATTTAAACCTTTAATTTAAACCTTTAATTGAGAGAAAACTCACTTCTTAAAACAGAAACATAGAAAGTTACTGTGAATAACAAAAAATTAAGAAACATTTATTTCTATTTCACTCTGTGTTCCTGCTGAAAGAAAACAAATCAGGGATCTCTTTTCAAACCTTAACACTTAGGTCAACTTAACCTTATGACTTGATAATGAGAGCTGACCGCTGTCTGCCTGCATCGGGTCAAAAATCAAACTTCACAAACCTAGAACACAGAAACGCTTGATTTGACAGGAATGTTTATCTAGGCGACTGTGTTCATGCTTCTAGTTGTTTCATCTCCTTTTGCATCTATTGCCATTTCTTTGTGTTCACTTTTCAGAGAGTGCCAGCGGGCCGGAGGGGCTTTCGGTCCAGCAGTCCCTCCCGTCTTATCGTGGCCTGCAGCTTGGCCGGATCGGGTGGACATAAATTGAACTTGCCCAGCGGAGAGACGCCGGTCCCTCCTTTCGGTCGGCACATTGTTTGGTCTGGGCAAGTATTTATTTAGATGTAAATCAGTTCACGAGAGTGTTACGTCCTGTCCTTGTGCGGTGGGCGGTGGACTGGTGCGGGCCTGCTGGAGGAAGTCGGCTCCATTCAGATGGGAGTTTTCTGCAGATTGTGTTTTTTATTATGAGGCCGTCATTGATGTGAGATGGTGACATCATGCAGCCTCGCCCGTCTTGATAGGGTTTGTGAGAAAGAAGCCCCACACCCATTTCTCATTCATTACTCAGCACAGCAAGGGGGTCGGGACCTCTGCTCATGTTTCAGCTGATGAGAAACCACATCTGGATGTGGACCTGAGCACTGAAAGGTGCTTTAAGGCAAAACAAACATTAATCATTAGCTGGATTATTACATTGCTGTTGACAAAGAAGAAACTCTGCGAATGTTGTAGTTGTCTTAGAGGGGGCGACCTCTGAGTGGGTGGCAAAATCAGACCTGAACAGATTATGTTTGAATTCCAGTCGGATAGATTTGCTCACTGAGAGGCTGTGTTACGGTTTATCTGTGGAGTTTTCGCTGCTTTTTGCGCGGAGGGAAACCATGCTGGAGTACAGTCAGGTCATCCTGTTCTCACTTCCATGTCATCACATGCTGCCAGCAGATCAGAAGCCTATGTCACTGGTTTTCAACACGGGCAGGAAGCCTAAAGCAGCATTTCCCCCGACCCCACCGAGGAGAAAACCATCACGGGAGGCATGGACACGTTTGTGTTGATGATAAAGGTTGAAGATTTACGAGGCCCAATACCAGACCTTAACCAAAACAGATTTAATGCACGAGGATGTTGCACAATGAGTGTGTGAAAAAAAAACATTAAAAAAGGAAGAAGTAATCAACCTTTGTAAGTTAATGAAAGGATGGAGGAGAATTGATTGAAAAATGAATATAATAAAATTAGGGGTCTACTAGTCTGCAACCTTATGAAAAAATATTGGGAAATAATGATAAAGAAAACTTTCATAAGCTAAAAGAGTTCAGCTTTCAAAAGAGTTTTAGCAGCCTAACAAACTTTTAAATGAATGCACGTGCTTTTCAGCATTTTAAAGAAAGTTGTTTTTGGAAAGCTTAATTAAGGGTTTATTATTTGCTTCCTCATACACGGACGCACATAAACACACGAACACCAGACGTGCTGTTGTCCATAAACAAAGCAGCAAGTGTTCAGGGTTTATCCTTTGTGTTACCTTGATTCGACCTGTGACCTAAATGTCACGCTTTGTGAAAACACCTAAACACAATTGTGAGACACGGCACCACTCCATTGTGTTGCTGTTTACCTCTTGGCTGTTACTATTGTAGGTTAACAGGTACTTCATGGACATTTTGAATTGACTTCCTCTGTTTTCAAACTGGCCAGGGACACCCTGGAGGATCACTGAAAAGCCTTTCAGTCACAGGAGAAATTAGTTTTTAGAGTCTTAGTTCATCTGTGTCCTCGCCATCAAAAGCATCTGCTTTATTTATCATTTATCTATAAGGGCTACATAAAATCTTAAGGTCAGCCTTGTGACTGGAGGTGTGGAAATGAAAATACTTAATAAAATGTCTGTGATTTGTGAAGACCTCTCTAGTGAAATGTTCTTAACAATTTACTAATTCAACTTCCTTATTTTCTGGATTGGTCAAATATTTCTGAATCCCCCCTGTGGTTGGAGATGAATAGGATTAATTTTAAAGTATCAGTGTGTAATAAAGCAATTATTTTAAGTGAGACCCTAGTAACTCAAACTTAGGTCAACTATTTTACACTATGGTTTCTTTTAGTTGTCTCAGATTGCTTTTTTTGTCTCTGAACCCATGCCTGACAAGGTTTTTTTCTAGTTTACATGGAATTACAGTAGTCGAAACAGAATCAAGGGACCCTCGCTCTGATGTCCTCTCTCGGTTTCCGTAGAAATTCCTCTACTGTCAGTGTGTGCGGTGACAGACCAGCGTCGGCGAGCCCCCCCCCCCCTCAGTCCACCGCCGATTATTAGCAATGGAAGAGATTAATAACCTTGAAGTCGTCCCGTGCACAGAGTCCAACTACCTGAAGCCGTTTCGGGTCCACTACAACCAGGTGAGTGGAGTCTGTGCGGGTTCTGGTGGAGGGATGCTGTAGGCTAGCCCAACCCCCCCATTCATTTCGCAGCTAGCACGCTGTCATGACGGCGAGGCTGACCTTAAGCGCCGACGTTGACGGAGACGACCGGCTGACCACAGCTGCCGCAAGGTGAAAAACAGCTGGACACGGGCGGTTTTCTCCCCGACAGAGGCTGGACAGCCGGCTTAGCCCTTTGGTACCAAAGCCGGGAAAGCTAGGCTAACGGGCTAGCGCGCTAAAGCTAGCCCGGCTGCAGAAGGGTTTTTTTTCTTTTTTTTTTTTTTGAACGGTTTAGCATCACATTGGCGCGAGCACATGCTTTACATTAGTTTAAGGGGCTGTAGGTGACATCGTTTAGCAGCGGGACGCGGGCCGTGCGCGTGTCTGTGCGCGTGGGAGACCGGGAGACTTGTTGATCCCAGCTGTCTCAGTCTGAGGAGAGTATTCACATCAGGGGTGTTTCACTGTTCAGTGTTTTTTTTATTTATTTATCTAACTCCTGCATGAGCCTGGGCAGGCCAATTATTCAGAGAAATTCTGAAGCTGTTTGTCACTTTGAAAGAAATAACGGAGCCTCGTGAGCACCTTAACACGTGGGCTCCTTCTAATAAATGTGACATGTCAGGAAACATGACGATCTAGGTGGTGTTTGGTGTTAATTTAGTCCATTTTAATGCTTAAACAGTCAGCCATTGCAGCTTTGTATCTCTTTTTATGAGCTAATCAAAACAATCCCACAAGCATTTGATAAGCTGAGGTTCCATTAAACATATCATTTCAGGTTTTAAAACAGTTTATCTGGTCACAGAGTGACTTAATGTCTGATATCTGGATACTGACAAATGGAGAAGAAATCCAGTAGTCATTCTCAATCTTAAAAAAAGAAAACAAACAAAAAAGAAAAGGATATCGTGTCTATTTTTGGAGTGAAAAGGTCCAAAAAAAGAAACTTCCACTCTTTTGTGCATCTATAACTGGACTAGAAGGGGTTCTTTAGAAGTGTTGCTTTCAATGTCATCAGGAAACTCGAGTGCCATCGTGTTGGGAGAAGCACATTTAGGACTTCGCCTCATTTGGCGCTCACACCTGAGACAGCAGAGGAGGGAGGTCGGCTGAAGGGGTGAAAGACGGCAGATGGGACGGGGAGAGAAAAAAAAAAAAAGAGCCGATGTCGGACTCTCTGTGTCCCGTCCTCCCTTTCATCCTCATCGTCTCTCCTTTCCCGGCTCTGAAGGGGCTGCTCAGAGACTCCCCACAAAGGCTTTTCAGTCACGCTCAGGGAGCATCTCTTCCACAATCCTTTCATGTTCGTCTGCAGATCTGAAGCCCAGCCGCCGCTCACTAACCATATGTGCTCCCACTCGCCAGTTGCAAACTCTAGAAGTGGGTAATGTCACATGGAAGTGGCTCTCTGCATCATTAGCGTTTAATGCCGCTCTGTCTGCCCGGCCTCCACAAAGCAGGTGATTGTTCCTAGTTGACTCTGGGAAACCCCTCTTATCTCTGTCGCCTCATGCCGACACCGAAATCACAAGATGCTACCTAGAGCTGGATAATTGCCTTCCATTTATGCATCATAGCCATTTGAATAATTCATCGGGGAACTGTTTATCTGCTTTAGCCCCTCAGCAGTGGCCCTTCACTTCTTCCTTTTGTGACGGCTCTGTTATGCTCTTGATGAAGGTAAAAGGCTGTCATGACTTGTATAAGGTGCCTGATTTATGGCAGAGCAGAAGTTTTATCTCTGCTTAATTCTTCTTTTGAATGAGTTGGGGAAAATTGGGATTAAGATGATGACTCATGGTTTGGCTGGTTTAAATATTAATAACAAGTTTGTTGAGGTCTGCTGCGTTAAAGACAAGTTGCATAACTTGCCAGTTAAAACAAATAGACGGTCTTAGATTTTTATAGGAGGGAAAAATACAAAAAAAGTGTGCAGAATAATGTGATTAACACTGAAACTCCCCTTCAGATATTGGGTGGGTTACCATTTATTTAGCCTCTGTACCGCATCCTTAGCCTGGTATTTACCCTGTTTTTTGCCGAGGTGTAACTTAAAGTTGAAATTCTTGGATTGAATTTTCAAATCTTGCATATTTATTTGCTCAGTTGATTTGGCAGAAGTGTGTTTCCTTGAGTGCACCAGAGTTCTATCAGCAAGCACATACAGGTGTAGGCTCTTTAGTGGCTGTGAAGTCTTCGTGGGCCGTCAGCTCCCTGGTTGTGGTGTGTGTTGGTGTGGCCCTGCTGCCTCTCCTGATGGTTCTGAGTTGAGACCAAAGCCCGGACCGGGACAAAAAAGCTGGAGAGCATGTGTTAGAGTGAGAGTGCCATTGTATTTGAGGATGCTAGCTGATTTTTTTTTCATATTTTTTTTGTCTGCCGGCTGCAGCTGCCAGCTTCATGGTTGTGTCATCACAGGAGGTACGTGTGTGTGTGTGTGATGCTTATTAGACTCTTAAGAGCGTACAAGAGCAGGCCCATACGGCCCTCCCCGCAGTAGCCGTTCACACAGGATCCCGTCACGTCTAATGCCCCAACCCTGAGGGACCGCGCTCATTTCAAGTTCCCGTGTAGCCCGCTTCTGCTTCCTTTCCTCTCTGCCGCCGTCTCTCCCCATGGGCTAATCTCTCTGTTCCAATCCATGTCGGCCATGGTGCCCAATCTCCCCAGGGCCACTAAAGCTGTCCCCGCCCCCCTCTTCTCAGCAAGTGGCCAGAGTAATGAGGGGAACCCCACCATCTGTGAGTGGTGACAGGACACTAGAGTAAATGTGTGTGTGTGTGTGTGTTGACACTTGCAGGCAGTGTAATTCTGCCTCACACAGTCTGTAGCTGCTGAAATAAACATGTCATCCGTGTGCTGGTTAAGGTGCTGCTAGTCGTCTGATCTGTGATCATATTATCACATGATTATTACAGACAAAAAAATAAATAAAATAGAAGACACAATCCGATGAAAACTTGCTTTTATGCACAGACAAACTGTCTGGCGAGTTATTTTTGTCCCCCAGAGTTTCATAACTTCGAGAAACCCCGACGTGCTTTTGGTCCCATTTACACCAGAACAGCGGCACGCTCTTCCTGTTTTTTTCCACAGAGCGCGTTCACAGCACATCCCAGGACATCCACTCAGCTCTGGCACGCTGATGCACTCTAAGGTTGTCAAAGCAGTGAAAAACAGTGGGGTTTAGTTGTTTTTCTCATTGAAATCTGCGCTACAGTCAAAATATGAACTGAGCTTTAAATAATACAGCAGGCTATGGATTGAAAAAAAAGGAAAAAACCTTAAAGCTGTACGCTACTTTTCATGTCACCCCCTTCACCCACTGAACAAATAAGACACAAGAAAAACTTTTCTTTTAAAATAAATCGGCCTGTGAATAGATGCAGGTCAGCATTGCATCAGAGGAGTGGAGCCTCTGGGGTTGTACACCCATGGGCGAAGTAGCTTTCGCTTTTGAACAATGGGAAGAGTTGGTATCATCTGTGTGGTATTTTTTCCTCATCCAACAGCTGGCGATCGTCTTTTCAGCTGCATTACTTCTTTTTTAAAGGAGTAATGCAGCTTTATTCCAATTTATTGTATCGGAGAATAAGTACCTTAGGAATACTCAAGCTTCTTTTTCAATCTAACTGAAAGCAGCCGGAGATGTGAGCAGTTTCGGGGGAAATAGTGACATGAAAATGAAGACTAAGTCCATAAAGTCTCAGACACTTTGTCTCTTAATGCATGTATCTGGTTCAATGGTTCTAATGGTTCAATGGAAAAGAGCTGATGTTCTGCCCAAAGAGGGGTTAGGGTTAGGGTTCTTTAAAACTATAATCCTACATCTCAAGGGGAAGTGGACTTGTTGGAGAAGATGTCGCCCTTATTCAAACTATTGGGGTTACCATAACCTGGATGAAGAGAATCTACACGAACCCTAACGCTCCCATCTACACCAACCCTAACCCTAACCCTCCTATCTACACCAACCCTAACCCTCTTATCAACCCTAACCCTCCTATCTACA